AGGGATTCATATACTCACATATACCGTATCTATCGAGTTAAATAATGTTTTGGGGACATTACAGTGCCCCTGAAAGTAACATTGTTAGTTAATTTAATACTATACATATACAGGGTGAATAAAAAGTCAAGACCCCCCCCTTTAATATTTTTCCCATTAAATATACAGAGATATCCTTTTGGTGGTTGTGCAATCTTAGCAGGAAGTTTCATTTTATGATTTTGAAATTTTTAAGTGTCCCCCCAAAAGGGGGGATTTAGGGGGTAACTCAAATATTTTAAATGTAAACCCCCTTCAAGTGACACCTCATTTTGATGTATTTATAAAAACTTAAAGAATGGTGAAAACTAGAGGTCGCTATATCTTTTCTATCCAAAATGGTAGACCGTCAAATGTTGTAGAAAATCAATGGTAAAATTGGTTCGTAATAGTAATATTGGCTACCATTTTGGATAGAAAAGAGATAGCGACCTCTAGTTTTCACCATTCTTTAAGTTTTTGTAAACACTTCAAAACAAAGTATCAAAATTGGGGGTTTACATTTAAAATTTTGGAGTGTCCCCCCAAAAGGGGGGATTTTGGGGCAACTAAAATGTTTTCGATGTAAACCCCCATCAAGTGACACCTCATTTTGAAGAGGTTACAAAAACTTAAAGAATGGTGAAAACCAGAGTTCGCTATCTCTTCTCTATCCAAAATGGTAGCCAATATTACCATTACGAACCAATTTTACCATTGATTTTTTACAACATTTGACGGGCTACCATTTTGGATAGAGAACAGATAGCGACCTCTAGTTTTCACCATTCTTTAAGTTTTTATAAATACATCAAAATGAGGTGTCACTTGAAGGGGGTTTACATTTAAAATATTTGAGTTACCCCCCAAATCCCCCCTTTTGGGGGGACACTCAAAAATTTCAAAATCATCAAATGAAACTTCCTGCTAAGCTTGCACGACCACCAAAAGGATATCTCTGTATATTTACTTGGAAAAATATTAGAGGGGGGGGGGGTCTTGACTTTTTATTCACCCTGTAGAACTGTCAATACTTACCGAATGTAGCCGTTAAAGGCCTATTTTCTTTGGACTTACGAGTAAGAATAATCCTTTTCAATCGTTACATGTACAGATATTTTAGAAAAAAAACCATTTGCGTATTATTAACATAACATGTTGTGTTTATAACGATTTATATTTTCCATAAGTTATGAAGTGCAATAGAAAGTCAATGGAAAAACATCACAATATGAACTGATGGTATTTTCGTATGTGACCTTAAATGTTTCTGTTTAAATTAACATGTAAATTAATTAGGATTGATCAAACATTGGCTAAAACTAAGCTAAATGTACCAGTTGAGTATGGAATTTAGGATACTATTGATACATTTAATCTAAGAAAGTATTAATTTCATAATGTGATACTCATTGTAAGTCATACTTTAAGAATAACTCAATCTTGATGTAATAATAGTACAATCTTCTACTGGAAATTTTAAAATTACTACAGTGTATGTGTTGTTTGTTTTATTCTTTTTAACACACTACAGTACTGTATATCAAAACGTTAAACTCGAAAAGAGTATTTTGAAACACATTTTATAACCGATAAAAATATGTGAACGATATCATTAATGTAGTGTGCCTTAGAAACATACATTTTTTTATTTGGCCTACATAATATCTAGAGCATGGGTTCATAAATTCAATCTCTAGCTAGTTTTGAGAATGCGAAAAGAAAGATTAACTGTACATTGTACTAACTAGAGACAAACCACTTTTAAATCAATTATAAAAAAATTGTATGAATAGATTTCTTAAAATTCTTCTTTTTGATCTGGTGGTAAGCCTTTGAAGCTTTGCCTCTCATGTGTTAACACAATCCAATTTTCCAGGAAGAGCAACAAGGCAGATTATTGATGCTCCGTAGTTCGAGACGAAGATATGTGTATCTATTACTGTTTGTAAAGCCAATTATCATCTTGAGACCAACTTTGAAACATAACCAAACTTTATATCACAACGATGAATGGAACATGTAATTTAAACTATTTTTGTATGAGGTGCAATAGAATACAACAAATGCACACGTTTGTTGTGGTTAGTTACAGCAACAAGGCAACTTTTCAAATTAAATCTGGCTCGAATTACACGTGTGGGCATCCAATTACGAACATGTTGACAACTTTACCTTTAAACAACCACTATGCATTAAAAAACCATTATAGTGTATCTCTAAATAACCATTTGACCAAAACAACCATTGATTATGTAAAAACCCATTATAGAATAAAACAAAGTAAATAATGTACCTTATATACAGTTTTACAGTGGTATGTCTTTTTATTGTATTGTAACATATTTCTGGATTTCTGAGTAACCTTTCTAAATTTGCCATAAGGTGTAACATTTATTGTTCTGTACTCTTAGACAACAATTAATTAATTACCAACTAGGCAAGTGGCGTGGTGATTTCACGAGATGATAAAACAAGATCGTCTGCCAAAAAATACTATATACACAATAATTTTACAACACAAAACCACAACGCGCTTGATTTACTGGTTAGTTTTAAGAAATAAATACACAATTCATTTATTAAAACTAACCACATATATGTGTATATTTTCCAGTGGTAAGTATTTTATGGCTAAGGGTCCTATTTCTAGACATTGTAATCAGTTGATTAAAATTATTACAAAAGATTTAGGCCTAACATTAATTGTTATGCACACTTTGGCAACAATGAATATCCGATTAGGCATGTGTGTTGCATAGAAAATATGAAACGCGGGCGTACACCAAAAAACTCTTCAGAATTCTTTTGGAAAAATAAATGTTAACATCCTTTATTTACATGTTGGTTGAAAATGTGTGTTTTAGCAACTAAGTAATTTAAGATTGCCTGATATCAGTTATTCCAACAGCTTATTTGAATTATAAACGTAATGTGATGCAACAAATGTGGAAATGAATAAAAAACAAATTAAATGTACAAAATAAATTCGGACCACAAAATAAATTAAAAATAGATAATATGAAAACAAATTTTGTAAAAGAAAATATTTTCATAAAAACAGTAGAACAAAAATATAGCGCTACCGGCTAGATTAGATCCGGGAAATTCGGGTTTGATGATCAGTAAGCTAACCGTAGGATTAGGATTGATAAAGTCTTCAACCGCTGCGTGAAAATCAAGCTTATAACTGGATATAGAGAAATATTTTATTCTGTAACCTCCACGTTAAAAGTGGTACACGTATGTCACATTAGGGCAACAAAGTAGTTAAGTGTAGAAAAAAGATTGATTTCTATTTAAACTTTATCATAAGTGTAATTTTCGAAATTACAAAGTTTATCTTCGTTAGAAATATCCATTCACCTTTAGTGAACACAAAAATCTAAATAAATAAAAGCAAGAAACCCAAAACACTAAAATTATCAGTTAACCCTGTGGTTAACCAGAGTAAGTTGATTTAAATATATTTTTCAGTTTCTGTGTAACTGGGTCAGGTGTATGACAGTATACAGTAAACATTATCTACTAAAAACCTTTATTTGAGAGTATATTAAAGCATGGTTGTTCTATATCTTGTATATGTATTTCTAATGTATTGCTTATACAGGGTGAGTTTTAATTGTACCCCACCCAACTTTTTTCTACATTTTATCAAATTATCAAATATCAATCCCAGACCACTTCCAAACATTGTTGGGTACTAAGTACTTCATTTTGACAAGGTGGTCATTTCCGGCCGCCATCTAGGATCCGCCATATTGGATGCAAAATTTTTTTTCAAATGTAAAGGTGGGGTTGTGACCCATTATTTCGAACTACATTTTTACCCTGATTACAATGCCGCAAACCGTTTTTAAAAATCTTGATTCATTCTAAAGTTACGAGGGCTTTTTAAAACTTTATTTTTAGCCCATTTTAACATTGTTCATTTACAAACTAAGACCATAATCCCAAAATAGTGCTAGATAATGATAAGTATACACTACCAGTAATTGTCCACCTATTTTCACTTGGTTATGACTGATGTATTTTTTTCGGCCGCCATCTTGGATCCGCCATTTTGAAATGTGATAAATTATTTTAAATATGAAGGTAGTGTTGTGACCCATCATTTTGAACTACTTTTTTTAAGCTAAACTCAATGCCGCAATCCATTTTTTGTTATCCAGTTTTATTTATGAAATATTGAAACTTTTTTGTTAAAAATGTCAATATTTCAAAATCAAAAAATGAAAATGAAAAACGGATTATGGAATTAAGTTCAGCTTAAAAAAGTAGTTCGAAATGATGGGTCACAACACCCCCTTCATATTTAAAATAATTTATCACATTTCAAAATGGCGGATCCAAGATGGCGGCCGAAAAAAATACATCAGTCATAACCAAGTGAAAATAGGTGGACAATTACTGGTAGTGTATACTTATCATTATCTAGCACTATTTTGGGATTATGGTCTTAGTTTGTAAATGAACAATGTTAAAATGGGCTAAAAATAAAGTTTTAAAAAGCCCTCGTAACTTTAGAATGAATCAAGATTTTTAAAAACGGTTTGCGGCATTGTAATCAGGGTAAAAATGTAGTTCGAAATAATGGGTCACAACCCCACCTTTACATTTGAAAAAAAAAAAATTTTGCATCCAATATGGTGGATCCAAGATGGCGGCCGGAAATGACCACCTTGTCAAAATGAAGTACTTACTACCCAGCATTGTTTGGAAGTGGTCTGGGATTGATATTTGAAAAAATGTAGAAACAAGTTGGGGGGGGGGGGGCAATTAAAACTCACCCTGTATATTTTTTGTACGTATCGTATTTTACAAGTTCTTAAGTCGTCTTCATTGCCAACCAGGTGATCCGCCTGCAACAGATGGTTATTGTGGTCATTGTTGTAATATTGCTAAGTGCTATCAATCATAGTTTTTTCATCTTGTTGTGTAAATGGATTTCACGAACTCAAAGACTTGATGTTATGTTTCAGGTCATGAGGACTCCATTGAGGGACGACGGCTGATACCCTGCCAACACACGACTCGACGCTGAGGAGAGGATGGACAAAACAGGAACAACTTACCGCTACAACCCGTCCTTCCACAGCCATCTCCAGCACACCATGCAGAAGAACAACAACAAGTCATCCCTGAGCAGACCCCTGGGTTTCCACGAGGACGACAGCCAAACCTGTTTCTGTTTTGAGAGCGACGACGACAGTGCTGACAAAATCAGGTTCAAAAACACAAAGCGCAAACTCGCCAGAGGCTGCATGAGCAACCTCATGATATGCGCGATCTTAATCGGTTACACGTTCATCGGAGCGGTCATCTTCTTGATCGTAGAAGGAGACTCGGGGTTCTACTCCATCTCGTCGAGGTCGAAGATACACTCAGTGACCGGTCAAAACAGAAGACCAGCATCGAACGCGACATGGCTGGCTAGGATTAGCGAAGAGTCGAGAGCAAAAACTGTAGAAAATATATGGGACATCACGGTGAGCTTGAACATCCTATATCGCGAGAACTGGACGCGACTGGCAGCTCAGGAGATCACGAGGTTCCAGGAACAGTTGGTGCAGAAGCTGACGGAGGAGATGGCTTCCAGGAGCTACTCTCACGATCCGAGGCAGCAGAAGGTCGACTGGAACCTAGCCAAGGCTTTTCTTTACTCGCTGACGGTACTCACCACTATCGGTACGTAGACCCATCACAGTAGACCTAGTCAAGTCATGAAAATCTTCATGGATCCATATATAAATACAACTATTTCAACATAGTACATAAATCGAGCGTAATATGGCCCACAGAGTACAGAAAAGTGTCTATTACCCTCCACTTTCTCTAACCAATTATTATCCATCACACAATAGCCAAACCAAATTTGCTGTGCCATCAACCACAAAACCTCTAACCACCACTTCTTGCCTATGTGAGATTAGAGCCGCTTCCCCTGCCAACTTGTTTTCCCTCTATGTCTAGTCGTACATGTGTTTTGCAACAAAAAACATATCATATAATGATGACTTTCACATAAAGTAATGCTTACTCTTATATATAATGATAACTTTTTTTTTATATAATGTTGTGTAAAAGGAAAACACATGTGCAATGGGACATTATCAAGATTACCATGATACCACTAAGAAAAAAATAAAATCGATTTTCTTTTGTTGTACAAATTCTCCCTGCCAAAAATATCTCCCCAGAAAGAACTACATGTTATAATACATCATTTTAGAATTTCTCAAGTAAACATAAAAAGTACCTAAATATAGTTAGTGGTCCTTAAAACATGTTTGTAAAAGTCGAGTGTAGATTTTTCCCGATTCCAAAATCCAGAGAGCCTTACTATACCCTTTAACATGATAAAATTTATATTTTACCGTCTCATTGAGTTGAAAATACTACATGATACAGTATTTACATTTTGTATCTACTGAGTTAATTGTTTTTATTTTAAAAGTGTTGTTTAACACTTGTGATATAGTCCATTTCAATCCTAACATTGTATGAACATTTGTGGAAGTTTTTCGGTTATCAACCAATCTCGTATGATCTTCAGTTGCGAGGAAGCAAATCAAAGTTGCCTCCTAGTTGCAAACTTCACCTCCTGTAGCAATCTGATTCATCACAAAGTATGCGGATGTTTGCCTTCACTTCTACCTCCGATCAACAGATTGGTGAAATATCAAAGCTAATGCCAACGGAAATACACTTCAAACTATGTTACCTTACTTAAAAAATGGTGATGGATTTCAGGGTGGTTAAAATAGAAAATGTCTATTGATGTTTTAAGTTGAGGTTGTATGAATGGTTTATGTTTTCTCTATCAGTAATTGATTTTAGCGTTTTGTTGTACTAACTAAAATTATTTTTTCGATTAAAAATTGTTTTGTTAATTTGTAGCATAGCTATTCAGAGTTTCGTCTTCTATGAAATTCTTAAAGCATTTTAAATTATTAGGTTGAATTATATCAGATAAGGCACATAAACTAATAATAGACTGTTTTAAGTCATGAATGTATACCATTTCTCAACTATTGTTTAGTTAAATTTTACTAGGTTCGGAATTGTTTTCCTCATTGCTTCAGGAAACGCGCTAGAGGGGACGCGGCATTATCACTTAGATAAAGTCCATCGGTGATTGGAAGGATTTGACCCATGACCTCGGGGATCTAAGTCTCGCTATCGACCACTAGACTAGTCCACGTCTTGCTATTATACATTTATGTTAAGTATGTTTAGTGGGTTTGTAAATGTTTTTTATTTCTTTACAAAGTCGAGAACAATATTATTGTGTACCTACACTTATCATAACATAGTATATCTTTTTCTGCAGGATACGGCAACATCACGCCACGGACGACCCTAGGAAAGGCAGTGACTATGGGCTACGCCGCACTGGGGATCCCCCTGATGCTCATTTACCTCTCCAGCATGGGCAGCCTTCTGTCTAACTGTGCAAGGCATATCTTCACACGGTCACTGTGTTGCTGTCTATGCTCCAACTGCGGCTACTGCTGCTACGACGAGAAGCGCATGCAGGAGAAAGAGCGGAGGATGAGGAAGAAGCGAGAGCAGAAGGAGTACGAGCAACAGCTGCAGACCATCAGGCATCACCAGGAGCCCTTCTATGTGCGATCACCGTCCTCGACATTCACTACCTCCACCAGCAACAACATGCACTCGCCGGTCCGGGTGGAGAGCGACGGCATCAAGCTGGACTCGGAATGTCTTAGCGCAGATACCTCCGTTCTGGAGACAAAGCCGGGCGCCAGCTGTCTCGCACCTCTCACATTATGCTTCCTCATCATGATCACCTACATCTGTGGAGGTGCCGTCATCCTGTGCCGCCTTGAGAGCTCCTGGAGTTTTTTGGACAGTATATTCTTTTGTTTCATGACTCTCAGCACGATCGGTTTCGGTGATTCGATACCATCCGCGAGCGTTCTATCGACCAAGATCGGTTCTGGCAGGACGGGCGGCAGCCTCATCATCTGGTTTTGCTCACTCTACATCCTAGCCGGCATGGCACTGACGGCCATGTGTTTTAATGTAGTACATGACGAGATAGTTCACAAACTAAAACATCACTACACCGGATCATCGCTAGCAGGGAGGATGACCGAAGAGAACTCGGTGTCTACCAAGCTCGGTAGCTCGAGCAACTTCCTGGACGGCGAGACGACGGTCAACACGACTATTGACTACCCACCCACGTCTTGACCCCCACCCCCGGATACAGAGTACCCGCTGTTCGGACTGGGACTGCCGGTGCCGTTCGTCGACCCGCCGGCCCCGGCAATGCCGGCCACGGACCTAACTATGCCTCTCCCTCTTCCGCAGCCTGACCTGACAACTGTGGCGGAGGAGGACGAGCAGCACACCGTCATGTGACTCAGTAAGTATCTTTCATACAACTCTAACTTAACATATTCGTAATTGTTTATGATGTAATAAAATGTAACAACACGATAGCACTTATGGGCATCAAATCTGTTGATCTGTTTATTTCTTGCAATCAATGGAGCTAGAGAAGCCCAAGTCACAGTTTATATCTTCTGGTACCCTGCTACATTGACAAGAAAAAGGAGGAATGACTAATTTTTCAATCTTGTCTTGTGGATCATTCGTTTATTTTACATTTGTACCAAACTGGTTGCACTTTAGATCCTGTGCTTAGGGTGCGTCAATCTGAGCAATAGCAACGACAGTAAACTATCCACACGTAAATAGCACCATATGATTTTAATACTTTGTTTCAGACGGAGTTGAAGAAGTGATGGTGTATGGGATGGTAAGGTCTACAATAGGCTCCACGTTCGCTTTACATACACCCTATGACACTTTGTCATTTTTAATTAAGAACATTATTTGCTAAAATCATAAAAAAAAAATTTTCTTTCGAAATGTAAAGAAATTGCACAAAATAAGTTTGTAATTGTAAAAACCATAATGCCTCATACAAAAACAATATAGAATGTCCAAACCTATTTGGATTGTTATACCGTATCCTGTATTTAGTTTTAATTTAATAATTGTTAGATGGTGATGTTATGAAAACTACTATTTTACAAGATAATTAAAAACACGTTTGAATGACAAAGGTGTATAACTGAAACGACTTATATTTTAGTCAAGGCTGGATTTGGTCTGGTTTTGCCCTTGTATAATAATATGCAGACCGAATGCAACACTCAACACACACACACACAAACATCGATGAATATATATCTACATAAACTAAGGATGGCAAGTAAGAAGGATGAGGGAAAGGCTCCAAACAACTCTGAGAGTCCCGCCCCTATACGCTAGTGGTATAAAATTAATCCAATGGCAATCGATTTTTAAGATGACTGAAAAAAAAAACAAAAAACGAGGGTGGTGAAGTAAGAGTTCATGTACGCATGCGCATTCCACTCGCCACCTAATTGACACGATATATCCTGTGTAACACAAAATAGGCTGATGGCCACTGTACTGAGACAAAACTCTAGAATGCTCATGTAGAATCTAGAATAAAATAACAATTTTGATCATAAAATTTTAAAGACATTTTCTTTGCCACTTTAAAATCCAGACCTACTTATTAAGTCCGGCCCTATTTATGCATACAATGATATGGTTGTGATCATTAATGTGTAATTGAATGTTTTCAATGTTCGTTGTTATATTTTTGGATTGAAGAAGGGGTTAACGTTAAATAAGAGAAAATGTAAAATCCATTCAGAAACGTTACTATAATACATATTACTTTTGCATCATTTTCATTATTAGAGAAATATCAATAGCAAATCAATAGCAAGAGGCTTTTAGATTGCTTTCTTTCAAGAATTATTTACTTATCGGTTATATTTTTATGACTCAAAATAATCTGTAAACAGATTCTGTACATAAATGTTTGGAATATTTTAAGGGTTCTAAGAGGAGTTGGGGGAGGTAAAGCATTTTCAGAGTCTGGGGCTCAGTTGGGCGTCAGTGAAACCAAGACGTATCATGGTCCAATGTCATGGGTTCACGCCCCGTTGACATTACATAAAATATATCAGTTAGATTTATTCTTGTGCTATTCTCACTCATCCCCTGCTTTGATGAATAACACGTGTTAAAGTGCATCTGATATCCGTAAATACATAAACAACCAAACCTTGTTCTCTGTAGTAATTTTGTGAATCGTGTGGAAAACCGAAGAGAATAGGCACATTTTCCATTGTATTTCCATTCCAACTCCCAAAGACCATTACAAAAATTGATAGGTAATGATTATTACAATCTTATACTACTAAATAAATATGCAGTTATACAATTCAATAAATGGATATTTAACTTAAAATAAAAGGTATGATAAATTTATATGCACATAATTAATAAATTGTATCATATTGCATTTATCATATTTATTAAATAAAACCAATTAACAAAATTACTATGTTGTTGGTATGAAGCTAAACAATGTCAATACGTTTGCATAGAGATGACTTGTTTGTTGTGACTTTATCTTAACACAGAGTATCTACCGAACAATTGCTTTACAAGTCATGTAAACAATCAAACCAGTAACGCAAAGGTTTTACCTGAATTTCGATTATTACTTTATACCTTCTTAGTTTCTACTTATAAAACTCGCTGTTAACAACTTTTGTGTTTAGTTCTTGAAAAGTATTGCCATACACAATTTCTTAGTGAAGTAGAAGAAACTATAGAACATAAAATCACTATTTAAGAAACCAAAGTGATGCGCGCAGAACCATTTTAAATTAAGTGTAATAGTATGGTATCGATATATTGTCAGTTCATGAAATTTATGTTATCCTGCTCATGTTGAGATTTGACTAAAGATCTGAGCGACTACTTACAACAACGTCACTTTGGCACTTCCTACTGACTTGTGTCAAGAGCAAGTTACGCTTCGTCAAGACTTTTGCTTCAAAGCTCAGGCTCGTTGCACACACACCGATTTTGGACGTCCGATCTTTTACCGGCTGTCCGAATTCCAATAGTGAACCACAGGCAGGAAGGGACCTTGCACGCACGCCGACCGCTGATCGAACGGCGCCGGTAAAATGCTGATGAGCTGCCGGCCACTGCCACTGCATACCGCCGGTGCCGGGGATGTGCCGGCGACGTGCCGGCGACGCAGTGGCGTACGTAACTAAATTCAAGCTTGCCAACCGTCCAAAATCGGTGTGTGTGCAAATAGCCATAATGGCTAAAATCTCTTAATTTTAATTCAGAGATTATTAAAAAGTGTTCGGTCATTAGTAATACTACATGAATAATAATAAATTATTACTTTGTACCATTTATTATAAAAGTCACGTGGCTAACCTTCTTAATAACAATTGACGTTACAATAATGTAATCACATATGAACGATAAAACCCGGTAAAAATGTGTGATATATATTAGGTTTGTAAAAACTTTGCACACTGCTGGTGTGAATATTTATTTACATTTATTTACAAAGGTAGCATGGAATCTTCGGTTAAATAAATGTATTCAGCTGAGTAAAGAGGGAAAACAAGGTTACACATATGTTCATGTGAATTCAACAGTACATTTACAATATACAGGGTGTGTGTGAACTGTGGAGCCAACCCAAAGTTGCAATCAACATGAAGACTGTGGAATTAAGGGTGGACGTTTTTAAGACTATAGTTATAATAGATCTATTAGTTTAAAGCTATTGTAAGTGTCTTGATAATAATTACTGTGCTTCTATGTATACATAGTATAAAAGTTGATTATTGTTGTATGGAATTATTGTACAACATGAAAGATTTTGTTCAATTTTATGAATATCGCATTATTAAATTTTGACTAAATTATTGTCTTATTTCATTTCCTGTTGGATAAAAGTGTCGATAGTAATAATTTTCTAAAATTCTATTATAAGTTCAGTGTACAGTTGCAAATTTAACTTTTGAACAATAATGTACGGAAAGTAAATAAACGGAACGTCTTATAACACTTAAAACATATAGTTACGCTTATACTGTTACTCAAAAGATGGTAAATATACATATACCCCCACCGCAGCAAACCTGCAGTTGTCACGGTTTTGGCTGATAAATTTATTAGATTTAATCGAAGGCTCAGAGCTCTAGAAACGCTCAGGAAATCCTGCAGACGCTCAGTAGGAGCTATTTCATCCCCACCTTCGGTACAATGGATTTTATAGATGCCCGAAGCGTCGAATTTGTTACAATCTTCCAATTTAGGATGTAGTATTTTACTCATAATAACTACTTGCTGTAATTAACAAAACAATACATATGTTAAATTAAATTAAATGGCTAACATTGGTGTGGTGCGTAATAACTTACATTGCATATTTTTTTGTGACAATAATTAGATTATATAAATAAATAATAAATAGTATGTATGTGTTATGGTAGTTCATGCTAATTTTAACTAAATATAGATTTATTCTGAATGCCATACATTTGCTATTAATGGAAAATGCACCTGACTTAACGTATACTTACAGAATTATAATGACTACAATAGACATTTTTTACATAGTGATAGATTACAAAATATTTAAAAACACAAAAAAAATTGAGAATTGACCACAAAAGACATTTTTCACACCTATAATAATAATACATGCAATATAGTTTAACAAGACAAAAAACACATTGAGAATTGACTACAATAGTCATTTTTAACACAGCTATAGTAATAATACATGCAATTGTTTGAACAAGACAAAGGAAAACATTGAGAAAGTGCCTGACATCAACTAATTGCATGTCTCCAGTGATCTAGAATTTCCACAAGATCACCATGAAGAGCACTATAGTCCTGTTCGGAACCAATAACACTATATATCTTAATACCATCCACAAATAGAAGGCAAATGGTTGAAATAAAGTTCACAAGAGGTTCAGGTTAGATTTACATTTATACTCGTTAGTAAAATCGCAAATCGGCAGTACAAAAGCATATCTCATCAGGTTCTGTATTCATTGTCTTTAGTATTGTAAAAATATATTATTAGCTGGTAAAACCCATGAAGCGTCCAATAACTTAAGGTCAATCTACCAGTACAAAGGTGAAAGGAAAAAAATACTAATACATATGTTTTTGAAGGTTTATCAAGCCTGAAGGGTTTATCAAGTTGAAGTCATGAGAATGGTTACTATAGGATTAATACGAGATGCTAGACATAAAGTACACGATAGTTCTTCGACGAGAGAGATAGATAGCCTTTGTAACGAGAGGAGGAGTTCTGCAAATCTTTTTATTCATATTATTTTATTTTATAGAATAGACACAAGCCACTTCGTCACAGATATCTTAACATGTGTTTTGTACTTACTTCCGTGAGCATAATACAATATATTCAGTATTTTATCAACCTAGGAAATACGTTGAGGAAAATTAGTATCAAAAACATTTATAATATGGTGAAGAGCTCTACATTTCAAAGTAAATTATAAAGCGTAGATAGTTTTACGTTGCCTGGACGTGGGACTGAGAGAGAATGCAGGGTTTTAAGGTGACGGAAGCGGTCCGTGTCTCGCATTCAAACAGCGTAGTGGCGCCCGGGATTAAGTTTAACTGTAATTTAGTTGCATTAAGTGTTACTCCGCTTAATCAAGTAGCTGGAGACCCTCATTTAATTTCACTTGATTTACATACCTTGGATTTCTATAAACTGGCAAAGTTTTAGTAATGTTTGTCATCATATTTGAGATTACTAACTCTGTCTAGAGGACTTAAATATCATCTATTGTTCGAAAAATGTACATCAGAGTGAAATAGTGACAAAATATAACGAGTTAATACTGTATAAATATTTGCTACAGCGTACAGCGTAACTCATTAGGATATGCGGTAAGTTCGGGTTTGATAGACACAATTGGTGAAAAGAGATCATTTCTACGTAGTTATAAACAACTTGCATTACCGTATTTTACCATAAAAACATAGGCCTACGTTTTTACTTATAATTGTATACTTTCAAACCTCTAAAAAAAGACCAAAAAATTTGATCCTTTTAAAGGACGAAGAAAATTTTAAAATAATGCAAACTCATGATCAATTGTTAATTTAAAGATTATGGTTTATATTTTTTATACTCAAATATATGACATAAAATTAAAAGCACAATATTTTCCCATAACAAATTACACACACATATTACAACAGTTTTTATATTTGATAGCTAAAAGTAAGCGTGCCCACAGGGGGGGGGGGGGATTGATGTCACAAGTTGCATCATCGGCAGATTTTTTGGACTTGAATTTTGATGTTATTATAGGATTTTGGGGGTGGGATTCCAGCCATGTAGTTGGTTAGAATCACGTAAAATATTTATTAGATGATTTATACGACTTAGGCCTAATTTAATAATTTATTACTGGTGTTATTACGCAATGACAATCCAATTTAAAATTATATCATTAAACAGTATACTGTACATAATTTATAGCTATAAATTGTTTTTATTTGTTTTTATTTCCACCTACAATTAGTTTTATTGTCATTTTATTGTTTATTAATAGGCTCCATAAAAGCATATTATTTGAATATGCTATAGACTTAAGCATATAGATAAAACTATATAAAATAAAATAAACAATTTTAGTTTGAAGGATATTTCATTGCTTAAATAATCTTATAGCATTTTTGGACCTAATCTATACGGTTGGTTTTTGTTTTTTGCTATGATATACACTTAATTCCTAAGACCCAGTAAAATGATAGTCACTTTGTCATTTTTGTTTCGTGAAAGCTCACGTTCGAGAAAATATAACTCTAAAGACTATTTTGGCTTTCCTAAATAATTATACCAAGTATGGGTGGGATAGCGGATTTTTATCCCACTGGAATTTTGCTCCCTGGGGAAAATTGACGTCACAAACCGGGTAAAATTCCGGTCGCGAACTTTTGAGTTGTACAACATCAGTTCGATGGATTTGAACGAACTAAATAATTGGAATTGAACGTATATATTCATGGTTGTGAATTTAATCAGAACACATCAAATTATACAAATCTAGAGTGTACGGGCCGGAATTTTACCCCCGTTCTTTTAGCCCCTTCATGAGGACAGCTCAAAATGTACGGCCCGGAATTTTACCCCCAGAATTTTACCCAAATAAGCGAGAATGATTAATTTTCTTCTTTAAGTTTTAATTTAATAGTAAACATTTTAATATTAAGTAGATTTTCTTAATTTATTTGTAACCTTAACTAATCAAACAGGTTTTGATTTTTAATTTTAATATTAGAATTTTCGGGATTACATTTTTAGGGCTAACTGTTGGTTAATATGTATATACACACATTTGGGTTTCCTTGCAGTAATAAACACAACAATTTTTTGAATACTTTTTACCGGATGCCTACAACTAATCTACAAATCATCTAATAAGTATTTTTTCGTGCAAGCAATCGGTTACTCTTTGTAATACGGTATTGAAATTTGCCGGCTAAATAAATAGTTTCCAAGTCAAAAAGTTGAAAGTATTGTTAAATTACATTAAAACAAGTTTTTTTCTAAGATCGTAACCTAGAAACATGTTTCCGAATTAGTATAGGCAGGCGATCTAAACTTCAGTTAGGTACACATTTTCACGAGGCACGCGCTAAAATCATTTTGAAAGTTCGAAATTGAAAAATAAAAAAATTTACGAGGTTGTGTACTTTACTACAAAATGTTTTACGGGCCAGTCTGTGTAGTGCTTTAAGGGGATACAAAATCCCTCAGGTCAGTGAAAGAACAGTACTCGTTCTCTTATTCACCAACGTTTTACGTTAACCTACTTTTGTAAGCTATTTTATATGCCCTCTATTCTTAAGTGCACAAAGTAAACCGTGTCAGAAACGACCGAACCCACTTACACAGTGCAGAGGAATTTCTACCTCACAAAGTCAAAAGTTTTATAAAAAATAGGATTTCGCGTTAAATTTTGGATTAAGAAAAATTAGTTGAAAATAAATATCCACGAGGGTTTAACCGAATCCGGTCATCTATGATAGTTGGATTCAAAACTAACTATTCGAGCAAAACACGACAAATACCATTTAAACATGTATTAATAGTTTTTGTTAAGACAATTTTTAAATACTAACTAATAAAGTAGGAATTTTATCATAGGCTAAACAATGCAGTTTTATGTCTAAAATTATTCTTAGTTAATGTCGATCCTTGTAAAATAATGATTAATCATCATAAAACGTTTGGTAGCGTATATTTTTGTATAGCCTATCTATAATTATTTGGTAATGATTTTATCATTTGTTATTTAACGTATCTTTTGTACTTTCAGGTAATCATTTTTGCGACTTAAGATAATGGAGCTTTTCCAGACTTGGAACTTAGCCTTAGTTAAGTGACAGGGATTATCATCGGTATAAACTTTTCAACACCTCTGCAGTGTTCTCACAAACTCTGTCAACTTTTCACATCTTCATATCTCTTACAAAGTTTGCATGCTCAAAGAAGAAACGGTGACAAAACAGTTTTGTTAGAAACAGTATCACTACTCTTTATGTAAGTTAGTGGATTTTTCATAACCGAATAACTTCTTGTTTACAGATGTTACAACAGATAAAGAAAGTTGTTTAGAGGGAAAAAGGTCGTGTTATTTGAGTCCTTGTTGGAATGTGCAAATAGAGTTGAAAAGAAAGATTTTCCTAATTGTTATGGAATTCGTAAATGTAATCCAATCGATATCAAAATTTTATCTTCAAAAAAGATTTTGCTATTTACTAACTGGCTTTACCAGCAGAATTTGTAACCTTAATTAAAGTAATGACCACAAACCGGGACTCGGAGGATATTT